TGACGCTAGCGTAATTTGGGATGATTCATTTTCATCATCCAGAGTAAGCACCTCTGATTGAGAAAAGAACTTGGCATCTGAATCAAATTGGTTGTCATATGGCTTTATGGTATCTCCAATCACATTAATAACTTTACTATTGATTGAACCGATTTCACTTTCCTTTTGACCACCACCCGTTTTTATCGTTTCTTTTTTGTTTTCCGCTTGAGCATTTTTAGCACGAGTTACCATGTTTTTAAAACAAACTTTCAACTGGTCACCATTGAAAGTTGTTTCATTTCCGCTAGCGTTATTGAAACTTTGAGCAATTTCGCACCAGAAGTTCTTCTTAGCAATAGAAGTATCTTTGTCGTTGTTTCGGTTCGTTGTTAACTCTTTTTTAGGATGATCTTCAATAAGAGAAACCAAAAGTTCCTTTTCTTTATCAGTAAAATTTTTACCACGAACTTTCGTCATTTTTAGCAGGCACAAAATCTAGAAAAAAATAATATAAATGAATGAAAAAAACTTTATTAACTAATAACCACCAAAGCCAGCAGGAAGATAATTAACAATAGCTGGTGGTTCTTCTTGGGATCTGGTGAAAGGCCTGCCAAGATGTTGAATTGTCCAATCAGACAATTCATCGTCTGCCATGTTGGCAAGGTTACTGTGATCAGCAACAGTAATTTGACCCTCTGCTCTAAAATGTAATTGATCTACATCAGATCTACATAATGGGCAGAGTTTCAAATTACTGTTGCTGAGCCCAAGAAACCAATTGAGGGAACAATTAATACAAAAGATATGGTTGCAAGGAAAACAATAACATCTTTCGGAGGCTGAAGATAAACAAATGGCACAGTCCAATTCCGCTAGCGAACCTTCCTCAAAAGTGACGTCAACGATAACATCAACACCATTTCCAATATCGAGCGAGTACGGAGTAATGTTGGAATCATTGGCTTGAATTTGCGTTCCATTGTAATAAAAAGAAACTTGATTCCTATTAATCCTGAATGGTTTCTGCGAAAAAACAAAAATAATCATTAAATAATTGTTACTATTACGCTAGCGAGCAAAACTTACCAGAACTTTCATGATATGCTCGGCGAGGAGTGGAAATGGTGTTCTAATATGGCACAACACATCTGAATACCAGTATGGTTTGGGTGCCTGGTAAACATTTTCAATATAATTCTGAAAAAGATGAAACAATGTTAAAAATGTTGAATATTTTTCAGTTAAATATAACTTACAATCATTTGAGGACTTGGTCGAAATGTGAATTCGATGACATTGCCTGCATCCATGTCATTCCTGAAAACATGATGTTTGCCGAATTTGCAATTGAGTCTGAAGCATTTGGATTGATTCTGGTCCTGGCAAACATCAGGATCTCTCCTAGCCAGTATCATTTGGGTGCTGTAAATGATAAGAAAAAAAGTCAGTAGGGATATTTACGCTAGCGGAGGTATAACTTACTTTCGCCATTCATTAGCTAATTCTGTCGGTAATCTACCAGTTCGTCTGTAGTGATTTTCAATTTGTCGATTAACATGTAGAAATTTACACCCAAGTCCATAACAGTAACCACGGTTGATGAAATTGAGACAAAAGGTTACGCTAGCGAAAAGACAGAGATATAAATTATTATATGTTAAAAAATGTTTGTTATTTAGTACAAATAAACACTTACCCATTAATTTGTGTTGTTGACATGTTGATGAAAGATAATTAGATAAAAAATTAAATAAAAATACCAAAAAAACAACTAATTAAGGGTGAAATGGGTGAAATTGTCGGTGATGGAAATGTAAACAATGTGAAAAAATGTAAACAAACACTTGTTGAGGGACAATTTATAAATTTTATATTGGCAAAGTTAGCATCAAAAAGGTTGAGCTCAATTTCATTTAATTTGAGATCATATGATCTGAGCTTTGAATGAGTTGAATTGGTGAAACAAAAATTTTATTTAAGCTCAAAATCAGTTGATTTGAAGATTAAATTGATCTTAGTTTTGATCTCGGTTGGTGAATACGGCCCTAAATCTTGCAAACATTTGTGTTTCAATGTTTCATCAAAAAACCAATCATCAGTACGCATGGTAACATGTGCACTTTGTAAATTTGGACATAAATCCATCAACTGGAAACCATAAAACAATTGTTCTGCAGGGAAGCAATCGGAATAGTGATAAATCTCAAGTATTTTGAGCTTTTCCAATACTGGACCATCGTAGCGATTGTCTAGAACTGAACGATAGATTTTCATAAATGAAAATTTCTGACCAAAATATTAGATAAAAATATTTCATAATTACTTGTAATTTGAATCGTTAGTTTTTCAAGGTTTGGCAAATAATGTGCATCTCTTTCCAAAGCTTTTAGACTATAATTCGAAACATTCAATTGTTTCATGCAGGAACCATTTTGTAAATTGTCTGGATTGAAATGATTGACAGATAGCATTTCGAGTTGATCACAATATTTTTCAATTGGTTCATCAAAATGATTGATTAATCCTTTCAAAGATTTTTGGTTTTTAACAAATTCAATAGCATCTTCGGCTTTGTTATGAAATTTGGAAGACAATTCAACAACCTGTGTTAATCAAATAAATAAGAAAATTGAATTTTTGATTAAAAATGCAAAAAAGATTAGTAATATCAACCTACTATTAAATTGGTAAATAATTTACTCAGACAGGTTGAATCAATCGTACTTATTTTTTGATAATGAACAACACCAGGTGGATAACCCTCTCCAAAAAACGGAACTGAAAATATAAATTTCTGTGATTAAGAAATGGATGACAATGAGCATGAAACATTAATAAAACTTGAATCTTACATGTTAAATATTTAGTTTTTTTAGTCCGCTTGGCAATTAAATAGCTCCATTTAATACACACTGTAATGAAATTTTACTAAATTAAGTAATAATACTTTCAAAACCAAACTTGTTTCATGTTAGACGAATGAATTAAGAATGGAACAAAATTTTGTACTGTTCTAGTTACTTCTATTTGTTACGAATCTCCGAGACAAAAATAATACAACAATATTATTTTCGGTTCGGGCGAATACAACACTAGACTTAACATCTGTAAGAATATTCAAATACTGCGCCCTATCAGTCAGATGGTTTAGTCAGGCAATAATCACAAGATGATAATCACTTTTATAATGAATTATTATTTTGTAACCGCAACGGCCGAAGCTATTAGTAATAAAGTTAATAGTTGACTCATGCGAATCCATCTCTGGTCAATTCAGCAACATTCAGTCTGTCACAAAAAATTGACTCTCGTCAAATTGAAAATGTATCTTTATTTTTTAAAGAAAACATTGAATTGAATTTAACTCAAAGAATATAACTCTGAGCATAAAACTTCTTACTAGGGAAGTAGATGAATTGACACAAGAAGCATGATTGGTACTTACCTTTATAACAGTTTATTAAATCCTCTAGGTTGTTCAGATAATCAAAAATGACGAGCAAACAATCATCGGGAATTTCGTTGATCAACATTTTATAATATTATAAAATGCTCAAACCTACAGTTTTCCCTGGAGTCTGGTGATTCAATCACTGTGATTGTATCCAAAATGATAAAAGATTAAATCTTTCATTTAAAATTGTTTTTCCCTGTAGTTCCCATAGATGTCAGCAGTAGATTGAGATAATTTCTTATTTGAGCTTCTAATTTTATGAATTCAATTTCACTTCAGATTTTTAAAAATCTCCGGTTTAGTCAACTTAACCCTGATCACTAGTGTAATGAAAATTGTTGCCTCTATTCAATTTTTAGTCTAATCATGTATTACTTTGAAAGGATAAAGACCAAAAGTGCCTAAAAATTAGAATATGTTCAAGATGAGTTTGCATTGTATTGATTTACGACTGTCTGATGAGATGAGGATCTGGACAATTAAGGAGATGGCTGATACTTCCGCTACTACTAAGTGGG